TACCTACTGAGAGAAGGGAGGAAGGGAGGAAGAGAAGGCGAAAAACACTAATGTGAGAAACATCAATTGGTTGCCTCTCGTAAGCGCTCCGACCAGGGATTGAACCCGCAACCCAGGCCTGTGCCTTGACCAGGAAGCCAGCCAGCAACCTTTCACTTTTGCATGACGGCACCCAAACAACGGAGCCACACTGGTCAGGGATAGGCAGGTCTTTTCTACACATGACATCCCCTGTTTCGTCCCCAGAATCTGGGGGTGGGTAGAAAAGTGTCTGAGCCTCCAGCTTCCCATCGGTGAAGTGGCCATGCAGCCCCAATGGAGGCTCTGAGAACTTTGATTATGCTTGGCTATAACTCAGTGGTTAACGCTGTCATTGTATGTCACCATTTGGGCTTCGCCTGCTCAGGTGCCCGCTGTCTCCATCCCTTCCCTGGAGACTGGGCAGGTGCTGGAGAAGCCCGCTGGCTCCTGGCTACCCCCTCTGGCGGCTGACCTCGGGGGAAGGACATTCTTACCTGCTCTTGGCTCCTCCTGACTCCATGGGGCCAGGGATGGATGCTTCTCTGGTGTCCTGTGTTTAGGCCTTTGAGCAAGTTTGTCCTCATTTCCTGGAACCTAGGTATGTGGCCACATACACACACACTGATGTAAGCCGGGGACTGCCTCAGCTGGTCCCCAGCTGTGGCTGCCATCAGTGGAGAGGCCTCCAGACTGCCTCTCCCTGTCCCCGCATCTGCTTCCCACTCAGTAACAATACGTCACAGGCCCTTCTCTGCTCGCAACCCTCCACGGCTCCCCATTGCCTCCAGCACAGAAGCCAAGCCTGGCATTTCAGCATCTGCAGGGCTCACCCCAGCCACACTCCCCACCTCAATTTCCCGACTCCTGTCCCCCATCAGGTTGGGCTCCGTTAGCAGTGCTGTGCCTGCAGTTCGAAACACGGCAGTGTTTTTGGCCTCTGTGCCTTTGCTCACGTGTTCCCTCTGCCTGGAATAAATTCTCTGTCCATTGTCACCTGAGACCGTCACTTCAGGTTTCTATACTCTCCATAGACATCCTCATTTCTTCACCAGCCCCCCTACTCCAACACACATGCTGGGTTAGGGCCACTCCTCGGGGCCCCTTTAGCCCCCTGTGCTTGCCACATCACTGCCTAGGACACTGGGCACGTTCCCCTGCTCCTCCAGGCTGTGAGCAACTCCAGGCAGTGACCAGATCTAGTTTGTTTACTGCTGCTGTATCCCTAGCACCTAGTGTAGGCCCTAGCACATAGTAGATGCTCAGTAGATGTTGACTGACCAGGAGAAGGAAGAGTAAGGCTTAGCCAGAGGCTAGGGGGTAGGGAGAGTTCCAGGCAGAGGGACCAGCAAGCACAAAGGCCTCAGGATAGAAGGAGCTGCTGCGATGGAGCGACAGCACAGAGGCAGGCTTGACAGAGTTGGGAAGGTGACTAGGATGTGCCAGGGGAGGCCTGAGTGGCTGGCAGGGGCCAGATCATCTGCTGCGCCCATGGACCAGACATCTCTGTGTAAACTGTGAAGTGCCGTGCTGTGGAGGTGGCAAGCCCATTCCATAGCCTCAGGCCAGAGCCTGCACATTCTTCCACCCTTGCCTATAGCCCTGAGCCAGGTGGCTGTGAATAGACAACTCACAGCAAATCATCTGGGGAATGACAGGGCTGGTCTGGAATTCGCGGATGAGTGCCTGTGATGGGCCCAGCCTTCTGGTCACTGTCCCAAGGGCTTGGGGGTGAGCACAGCAAATAGACCACCATCAAGCCAGAGCCACCAGGGCCCTGGGTGAGGGGCAGACAGCGCCCCTGGTCCCATGTCATACAGAAGGACTTGGGGAAGAGTCTGCTGCCAGTTGCGTGGGGTCGGGCCCCACTCCTCACTCTCCATCCTGCCCCCCTGGCATGGCTTTGATCCGAGTGGGGGGAAGGAGGGAAGAGGTTTCTAGAGACAGACGACTGTGTACAACAGGTGTTCACCATCCCAACAATGTTGACATTAGTATCTGTCATCTCCTGGGTTCTTTGGGTTGGGTTGGGTTGGGTTGTCCTTCCTGGTGTTCCAGGCCTGACCCAGGGCTGTGTATACCATTGATGGTCATCAAGTACGGGCTTGCTGTCTATTAATGATGATGAGTGATTTGTGGGTACTAAGCAATGAGTTGCTATTTTACTAACAATGTTTTAAGCAAAATAATGCAGGAAAAGTCACTTATTTATCAGGCCTAGGCCACCTACTCTTGCATCTGCATAATCCTGGGAGTTAGTGGGGTTGGTGCCTCACTTTATTGATGAGTAAACTGAGGCTCAGAGGGGCGGGGTCACACAGCCAGTGAATGAAAGAGCTGGAACTTGACCTCTTGCATGTGGAACCCTTGTCAGTGCGTTCTGCCCAGCCAACTGGGCAGCATCTGCTTTGTGCTGAGCATGGGCCAGGCCATAGTCCCTGCCTTCAGAGCAAGGACAGACACACCCTGAATGGACAGAGACACCTTGGATGGATGGTGTATCCCTCCATGGGGTCAGGGGTTTTTCAGGAAGCATATCCTGAAGGATGTGGCATTTACTTAGGACCTTGATGGACAAGAGAGGGTTGGGGAGCTAGAGATATGGGGTGAGCATTCCTGGCAGGGCACAGGCCCAGGGGGATGGTTGAAAATAATGAATATTTCCAGGGCTCTATAATAAAACCATTGTGCTGGCCACATCCTCCTGAAGTGCCTCCTGAGAACCTCAGCAGCTGAGCCAAGCCCGTGGGGTCAGCGGTGTTTCCACATAGAAGGAACCTGTGCTTGCAAAAACCACGACTTGTGCAGATGGCCCCTGCTGCTCCAAGAGAGTGCACAGGGGTATGAGTGATAACAAGGGCTCGCACATACTGAGCTCATAGCACCGCATTTCATCCCCATGTGAGTCTTCTGGGGGAAGCAGCACATGTAGCCCATTCTGCAGGCTGTCATACCGAGGCTCAGAGAAACAGTGGGCTCAAGGCCATATGTTCAAGAAGTGGCAGAGTTGGGACTTGAACTCAGGTCAGTGAGGCCAAAGTCTGCTTTTAAGCCTTTTGTCATCCCTGCTCTAGGAACCTGGGACTTTCAGCTGAACTCCTGGGCATAAAGCTCATGATGTGCTTGTAAGTATTTAACAGCCAGCTCACCAGAAGGAAAAAAACCTTGATTAGCAGTGACTGCCAATTTCCAGGGTGTAAATACTCCCACAATAGCTGGTATCAAGCTACCAATCATGGAAGTTGGAGTTGGGAAAAGATGAAGACAATTTACTCTTTTAAGTGGTAAGAGCCAGCTCCAGCACACCACTGGATGAATATCCCATACCTAGCGCAGTGTGGCCAGTAAAGACCTTCAGACATGTCTGAAGAATGAATAAGGGTTGAGAAACCTGCTTCTCCAGCCAGAATCTTGGGAAGGTGAGGTTAATCTTTAAGCCAGCCTTGCAAGCCAGTGCAGCCATTTCACCAGATGATGGCCTGTGCTGACCAGCTCTGTGACTTTCAGCAGCCCTTCCCCCCAATCCTCGGTTTACCAAGCATCATTCATTGAACACAACCTCAAACACCCTCCTACCGGTCAGTTCTAACCTTCCCGGGAGTCCCCTGTGACCATGTTCACTCCTGTGACTTGTACAAGGTGCAGCAGGTGGGCAACTAGCCTAGACTGGAACCCAGATCAGTCTGGCTTAAGGCCTTGCTCATCCCTGGTCTCCTGGATGCTGTTTTATATCCTGAGGCCTTTCCCTCCCATCTGCTAGGGTTCTCCTCCCAGCTCCTCTCAGGAGACATCCAGGACTGCTGCCTTCTGACCTGGCTGGGCCTTAGTTTCCGAAACATCAGTGAAATGGGAGAACTTTCAGAGAAGGAAAGTGGAGGTAGGTGTGGTGTTTAAGGCTGGACACAGGCCAGCCTTCCCTGTGCCGTGACTGCAGGAGCGCAGGTGAAGACCCAAGGCTGGTGGGATGCTTGCCTCCAGTAGGGCGGCCTGGGCCAGCAGGTGGTGGTGTCACCAGGGAGACCAGAGTTGGGGAAAGTCCTCCCCCAACCTTCTTCCAAGGGGGGTTCAGATCCTGGTGGTGGGAGGCCTTGCGGGCTAAGCAGCATTTCCTCAATGTGCACTTCCTTTGATCTACTCCAGATGCCCTGCATCCAGGTGTACTTCACCTCTTCATTTCCTTAAAAGGGTAACTGCCTCTGAACATCCCCTTCAGCCCCCTCCTCAGCAATAATAGCCAGAACTTGATGACTTTGATGGGCTGCCTTAGTAACTTAAAAAAAAACAACCCAAAAACCCAACATTAAAATGAACATCTATCTGTTAAGATAAATGTTTCCCCTCCCCACACTGTCCCTCAGGCCCCAGTCCCCACTTTGGGAAAGTAAGGCCAAGGCCAGAGTCCAAGGCCAAGGTCCTTGTAGGTGACCTCCTTTTCTGTGCCTCAGTTTTCTCACCTGTGAAATGGAGGTAATTATCCCCCAGCCCAGCTGGTTGTTAGAAATAGGTCCTAAAGTCTATCAGAGCCACTTAGCAGGCGCCGGGAAAGGAGTGCTCTGTGAGTGATATTATTATTACTATTACTAATAATTGCAGGAGAAGTGGATTTGGAGTAAATAGGGTGGGTGGGTTGGGGGAGTCAGGGCGGGCACGTTGGCTAGAGGACGGACAGGGAAGAGCCCCGCGGGGGGGCTCTCTCACCCGACGAGGTGGGGGGCGGGGCTCCTGCGCCCGGTGCCTCCGTTCCCCAATCCCCGGCCGCGCCTGGACCCCGGGCTCGAGTGTGGGGCCGCGCACGGGTCTCTCCCGAGTCACCGGCGGGGAATCCGTCCCCGCGCGCTTCCTCCTTCCTCCTCCTCCCGGCGGCCTGCCGGGCCCCTCCTCCCTGCTCGCGCGCTCCCTCCCTCCTGTTCCCTCCCTCCTCGGGCCACCGCCTCCTCCTCCTCCTCCTCCTCCTCCTCCCTTTCTCTCTCGATCTGTCTTTCCCGGCCCGGAATCCATTCCGGCCTGGGAGCCGGAGCGGCCTGGCCGCCGTCTGCTCGACCCCCTGGCCGTCCGGCGGTCCGCCCTCCTGTGCGCCTGTCTGCTGGTGCGTCCGCCTGCCCGCCGGCCCAGGTGAGCGCCCCCCGCCCCTTCGGGGGCCCTCGGTCCCGGTTGGCGTGGGGGACCCCCGCCGGCGGACCACCCTGGCGTCGGATTGCCAGGCCGCGGGGGCTCCTGCCCACCCCTTCAACCCCCACCCCCAGGGCCGAGCCGCGATCCCGGAGCGCTGGGCGGGCGCACGGGTTTTGCCCAGCGCGGCCTTTTGTTGTGATGCTGCGGGGGTGGGGGCAGCAGGGCGGGGGGCGGGGGTCGAGGGTCCTGTCGGCGCGGGGATCTTCCCCGGCTCACCCATCCCCTACGATTCCCTTGAGAGTAGCCAGCCCGGCCCAAACCCTCAGGCCGGGTCTAGGCCAAATCTGAAATCTGAGCCAGTCGGCGCCACCTCTGGCCGCGGCAGCCCGGCCTGGTGCCCCCGGCCCGGGAGGGGTGGTGGAGAGGGGTCCCGCACGGCCCAGGCCTGGAGGCATCGGTGTGAGGACGCACGTCTGGGCACCAGAACCTCTGTCCTCGTGGGGCTTTGGGTAGGGCCTGGTGCCACTGGCCTGGAAGGGACTGGCCAACAACTGCTTGGTCCCTCCTGCCCACAGCCCCCAGGCTCACCCCTGGGTAGGCCCGGCCGCCTGCCTGCTCAGAAGTTGGCAAAAGTTTTGGATTTTCACCACCAGGCTGAGTCCACCTGCCTGCCTGGGCTGGGGTCGGGGGTGGGTATCCCTGCTGTGTGTCAGACAACTGCCTTCCCTCTCTGTGCTGGGAGTTGGGCGTCTTCATCAGTGGCAGGTGGCCCTGGCTGGGGTTAGTGGGCTAGTGGAAGGCCCGGGGTGAATCAAAGGAGCCCACCTGTAGGGTTTCAGTTCAGCCCGGAGGCCTTCATGCCAACTTGAGCGTGGGCAGAGCATGTGTGGCCCTGGGTGAGGCTTTCTGAGCTTCAGGGACTCTGTACAATTGGAGAAGTGGTCCCTGCGTGACCTGGGTTGAGTCCAGGCCCAGCCACAGTGAGTGGAGAGAAGCCTTGGTTTCAGAAATGGGCCGGGCTGGTCCTGCTGCTGACCATCTTCTCAGCCTCCGAGCTGGGGAGACAAGGCACCTACGCTTCTCATTCTCACTGGGTGACCTGGGCCAAGGGACTGTCCTCCGAGTCTCCATACGTGGCGTGGGAATCCTCAGGGGAAAAATGTATGTGTTTCTGCATGTAGGGGCTTGGCATGTAGTAGATGCTTAATAAGGGAGTGCCTCAATGGACGGGATGAATGGCCTAAACTGGGTGGGAAGTGAGGTTGCTGGCCCCAGCGGGGCTCCTCTCCAGAAGAGGAGGCATTGATGCTGGAAGACACTCCTCAGAACTCCTTTGGGAAGAACTGGCTCCAGCACAGCCCTGCCATCCGGCCGCTGTGTGACCTTAGGCAACTCGCCGCTCCCTCTGGCCTCAGTTTTAAAATGTACCAATGAGAATGGCAGGTGCTTACATTTCCTGAGCATCCCAGGAACTCTTGGAGACTCTAGTTTATCTCATTTTGCTGCTGCAGAAACTGAGGTGCAGGGAGGGGAAGTGACTTGACTAAGGCCACACAGGTTGAAGCTGGAACTAGAACCTAGACCTCAGAGACTAGCCTGGCTGCCGCCGCACCCTCCAGAGCTGAGGGAGCAGGGGTTTCCCAGTAGGGGACTGGGCCTGCGGCGCTGTTGGAAAGGACTGTACTGATGAGTGACTGCATAGGAGCCACGAGGCCTTTTTGGTGGTGTGGTGCCTTGGTGATGTGGTCTTTCCACCCAGGGAAATGATTTATAGTGTGTCACCTCTCTCGGCTGCCTGCCTGCCTGGCTGCCACTCTGCCCAGGTCCTCCTGTGTGGCCCCTGTGCCTTTGCTCCTGAAGGTCCCTGCCCGGGGTGCCCTCTCCTGTTTGAGCTGCTTATCTGCTCTTGCTCTTTAAGGCTTGGCTTAAGGCCCACCTCTCCCAGGAAGGCCCTCCTCCATGCCCCCACCCCCACCCCACCCCCAGCTTTCTCCTCCTCTACTCTAGCCTCTTCCAGGAGCAGGAATTCTCCCTAACTCAGTCAGTTCCTGCCTTTGCTTCTTCTCCGATTGTGCCCTGGGAGCCAGGGAGGAGATGGCTCAGTGACCTGCTGACAGAAAATCCCTCTCCAATCTCCCTGGTCCTCACTTGACCCTGTTTTCCCAAACCTGCTTAGATACAGACGTCTGTGACCCTTGAGCACCTACCGTGAACGAGGAGCTTGTAACTCAGGCTGAGCGGTGCCGTGATGGGGTTGGCAGTGGGAGCTGGAGGGAGGCATCGGGAGGCTTCCAGGGAGTGGTGCTGAGGGGAGCAGCGGTTTGCGGAACAAAGAAGGGGGCATGGTGCTCTTTCTTCCCTTTGGCTCAGATACATCCCAGAGCCCCTGGTGTTGTTGGCCTGGGCGGGTCCTGGCTGGGGAATTGTGAACAGAGCCCTGGCTCCCCAGAAATTTGGGTCTAGAAGGTGAGCCAAATAGCAAACAAGTTGCCAAATAAATGGATATATAATCACAGATGTGATAGGGGCTCAGAGAAAGAGGTGTGGGATACAGAGGAATCTTGAAGGGAGCACGGAGGAGTTGGCCAGGCATGGAGCTATCGGAAGGGCTTGCCAGCTAAAGGGCACTGCATGTGCAAAAGCCCTGAGGTAGAGGAGTATTTTTGCTGCTGTGGAGTAATAATGGGAAAGCCTGTGAGTCGGGAGGACAGAGAATTAGGGGAATTGGGTGAAAGGTGAAATGAGGGGGTGTTGGCAGTAGGGCTGGACCGTGTGGGGCCGGGTGGACTGTGGGGAGGAGTTTGGCCATCATTTCACACAGGGGGCTTATTGGCATCCCCTGTATGAACAACTCCATGCTGGAGGCTAGGGGTAAAGAGCTGGCCGAGTCATCTGGTAGAAGTAGATCTGTGGGTTGGACGCTAAGGGTTCTGTGGGGGCTTAGGTCAGGTGTCAGGAGGAGGAGGCAGCACCTGAGGCTGGGCTTTGAACGAGGAGTGGGACTCACTAGCAGGAAAGCAGGAGAAGGTGAGAGCCAGAGGTTGGGGAAGTGCAGTGCAGGGTGGCTGGAGTTTGGGGGTGAGATGGGGAGCAGGGGGGGCGCGTTAGCTGCAATCCAAAGGTATGGGAAGGCCTCAGGACTCAGATGGGTCTGGGTTCACGTTCGGACCGTCTTCACTTGTGAGTCTTTGGGTCATTCATCGTGTGTGTCTGAGACATAGTTTCCTGGTCTTGAAAATGGGGGCAATAAAAATCTCGCTGTCGTGTGAGGGTTAAAGGAGGGCTGTATGCCCTGTGCCTGGCACCAGCAGGCACTTAGGCAATGGGACTTGCCTTGTGTGGCATTGCACCGGGCTGGTAGGTCGGCCCAGGTGGTCTCTCCTCGCCAGCTTTGTGGTGGAGGCTTTGAATGGACGATCTAACAGTCGGAAGGTGCTGGTCTGGGCAGGACTGGCCCAGGAAGGGATGCTGGGAACCAAGGCCACACGGGTGCTGGGCGACGTTAGCGCTGCCCTGCCCTCTCTGTGTGAGGAGGCTCTGCCGGGGAGGTGGGTCTAGCTCTTCCCAGCGTCCTGAAAGCCCGCCTTAGATGAGGTTGGTCCATTTTCCAGATGTAAGTACTAAGACCCAGAGAGGAGAAGCCACTTGGCTAAGGTCTCCTGGTTGCCAAGTGGCAGGGCTGAATCTGGACTCCTAGTCCAGAGCTGGGAGCCGGCAGGAGCCTCGCACGTCCTGTAGGCCTGGGAGCCACAGCAGAGCGCCTCCGCCCCCCTGCTCTGAGCGTTTCGACTAGATAGAGCTTCATTTCCTGCCTCTGTCGTGTGGGCCCCCACACCTCCATCTCCCTTGGGGTTTCCATAGCCCTTTACTTCCCTTCCATGGTCCCCGCCCCCTTATCTCCATGGTATACTGTTCTGGTTTCCACTTGAGCCCCTGAGGGAGGCACTTCCTCTGGGGCACCTCAGTTTCCTCATCTCTGAAGCGGGATAGTATGAGTCATGGCTCCCACGATGCCCCAGGGGGATTGAAACAAAGCATTTAGTGCATTGACTTAGTAAATAAGGGTAGAGAAGAATCAGGCGCACACTCAAGTCCTTCTTCCTCTGGCAGCTGACGCCCCCTTCCTGTGACTCAGTTTTGAACCTGTGTAATGGGCATGAGGTTTGCACCTTGTAGGGCCAAGGGGAGAATGGAGTGAGACTGTACCTTAGCTGCTGATGGCGGCCTCTGCATCGCTGTTCTGGGGGAGGGTGGTCTGGTAGATACGTCCCCTGGGTTGAAGACCCTGTTCCAGCTGAATGCCCAAAGGCAAGTTCTGCAGCCTGGCTGGACTTTAGCCTAGGCATCTCCCTTGAGAAGATTAAATCAGCTAACGTCTCCCAGTAGCTGGATTCTACTGGATACCCAGGAAATGTTACTTCCTTTTTTCTCCCTTCCCCTCCCTCATGGGGCTCAGATATTATCCAGTATTGGGACAGCCTGGGGCTACAATTATCCAGACCTGGATCACTGTATTGAGGACATTCTGAGGGCCAGCCTTGTCTTCATGGGACAGAGTGCTGTGATAGATTAGTAATGTCTGCCCTGGACAGAGGCTTAGAGAGTGTTCTCTGTGTACCGTGAGTTTGTTCTTCCCAATTTATTCTGACCTTTTCTTTACAGATGGTGGAAATTAGGCCAGAAAGACCCAGGACATGGTATCAAAGCTGAGAGAAAATGCGCATCTCTTGTCTTTTGATCCTGGACGCTCCCTACTCAGCCAGCCTGCGCCTGCCCGCAGTACAGCCTGGGTGGGGTGGAGTCAAGGGGTCAGTGACTGGGGAGGATCCTAGCACTGGAAGCCAGAACCTCCATTCCCCCTCCACCCCCAGCCCCAGCTCCTCCCTTCCCCCAGAACCACCCAGAGAAATTGCGGAATAAAATGAGAAGCCAGAGGGAAGGAGAACTGGATAAACTTGGCCAAGTCCCTTCCCGCTCTGGCCCTCAGTTTCCTCATCTGT